TGCGCGACCAGGCCTTAACTGTTCTGGAAGCTCTCGGTGAGGAAGTGACTTATGAGCAGCTCCTTGAGGCATTGGAGGCGAGATATGGCTACGCTCACCTGGAACACGTCTTTCGTGCGCAGCTTAAAGATCGCGTGCAGCGCATCAATGAAAACCTGCAGCAGTGGGCTCTAAGCGAACTGTAGAAAGGGAAGTTCATCGATCTCGAGAGGGTAGTGCAGCTAACGGCACCGCCTGGCGACGGCAGGATCATCGTTCCCCTCACGTTAGGGAGTTTGCAGCAGTTACGATTCGCGACCATAATAAAAATTACAGCCTGTAGGTGTGCTGCGCACACACATGTAAACTTCGCAATGTTGTATTGTAACTATATTATGTAGTGAATAAGATTTTTCAACCAGTCACTAGTTGCCCGCCAACTGTATGGCACGTTCCGCTATAATAAATATATTAATAAAAGATTTCATCTTTCATTATGGTCACCAATAGGCACCCATATGGAGTCAGCTCCTAAACTGGTGACCCCGACGTGATCAAGATGACCGAAGTGGTCTATGTGATGTTAATGCAGTAGTGGGCAATATTCGCGTGGTTGTGATCGGTGGACAATAGATATAGTAACATGAGTGCGCCGTTTCCGCCTACGTCACAGAACGTGCCGCCTGTTAACGTGCCACCCGTTCAAGACATCCAGCCACCCGCGCAACCGCCCATTATGGCGCCAGGTGTAGATGCAGTGTCCCTACAGTCTCGCCTCGCAGACTTTTGGACGGACCAGCCACGCGTATGGTTCGTACGCACGGAAGCTATCCTCGCACCTCAGAGGTTGAGTGATGAGGCGAAGTTTGACCTGGTCGTGTCTAAGCTAAGTAAGGAGGTTATCGCGCAAGTGACGGACATATTACTCAACCCGCCTCCTACCTACAAGTACGACGCACTCAAAGCTCGGCTACTCCACATCTATGAGGAGTCAATGTCGAGGCAGATCGAGAAGCTTATGAGCGAGCTAGAGCTGGGCGACCAGAAACCATCTCAGATGCTTCGGCGGATGCGTGAGCTCGCTACTGACAAGGTTCCTGATGAAACCCTTCGCGTCTTGTGGCAGGGTCGTCTTCCGACACAAGTCCGAGCCGTGCTAACTGTGTCCGACTCCAAGGACCTGGACAACCTAGCAGCAGTTGCAGATAACGTCATGGAGGCTGTGCGGCCTTCCTATGCCGCCACCGCTACTTACACCGTGCCAGCGCCAGCATCTACTACCGCCTATGACTTGGCCCTGTTGAGAGCTGAGGTGGCTAAAATAAAGGCTACCGTGGACCGGATCGATCAGCAGAGGTCGCGGTCCCTCGCCCCTGATCGCAACCGGCGTCGTTCACAGTCCAGGCGCCGTAGCAGTCCCTGCCGTCCCCGGAAGGAGAACTACTTATGCTTTTACCATTACAGGTTCCGAGAAAAGGCCAACAGGTGTACGAAGCCTTGCGCGTGGAAAACAACACAGCCGGAAAACTGAGCAGCGAGGTACAGTCCGAGGGTCTTCAGGTCTGTACCGTTTTTCCATTCAATCGTTTGTGTGTGTCAGACAGTAACTCCGGACTTAGATTTTTAGTTGACACCGGTGCCAATGTGTCTGTTTTACCAGCCGTGAGAAAAGATCGTCTAAATCAGTGTAGTGAATATAAATTATACGCAGCTAACGGCAATGAAATCGCAACTTACGGTACCAAGACAATAGTGTTAAACTTAAACTTACGCCGACCTTATCGTTGGGAATTCGTTGTAGCAGATGTCAAACAACCAATTTTGGGCGCCGATTTTTTAGCGTACCACAAACTATTAGTTGATTTAAACGCGCGTAAATTAATAGATAAAACTACAGAATTGAATGTTTCGGCATCTGTTGTCAATGTATCTCAACCTAGTGTTAAAACTATTGATGTAAATCATCCATATCAGGATTTATTGTTAAAGTATCCGGACATCACTAAACCAGCGTCATTCCGAGAAACTGCGAAACACGATGTCGTCCACTATATCGAGACCTCTGGCCCGCCCGTGCACGCGAAAGCGCGCCCGTTGCCACCTGACAGGTATAAAAAAGTTAAAGAAGAATTTCGCATCATGCAGGAACTGGGCATCTGTCGTCCTTCAAAGAGTGCGTGGGCTAGTCCGCTCCATGTAGTTCCTAAAAAGAATGGAGATATAAGACCTTGTGGGGACTATCGCCAGCTGAATGCGATAACAAAGCCCGACAGATACCCGATTCCTCGCTTGAACGATTCTACTTTTATTCTTCCGGATAAAAAGATATTTTCAAAATTAGACATCAATAGAAGTTATCATTTTATACCTGTCGCACCAGGTGACGTGGAGAAAACCGCTATCATAACACCATTCGGACTTTTCGAGTTTCCTCGAATGACCTTCGGTTTGCGCGGAGCAGCACAAACCTTCCAGCGCTTTATGAACTCCATTTTTCAAGGTCTTGATTTTGTTTTTTGTTATTTAGACGACTTACTTATAGCTAGTGACAACGAAGTTCAACACAGGCAACATTTAGAAATTATTTTTAAAAGGCTTAATAAATATGGAATTTCAATTAATTTGGCAAAATGTCGTTTCGGACAAACTAAACTAGAATTTTTAGGACACGAGATTAGTACCGACGGCGTCAGGCCGTTGCAAGATAAGGTTCAGGCAATTGTGGAATTTTCGAAGCCGAAAACTGTTGCAGAACTAAGACGTTTTCTCGGTATGGTCAATTTTTATCGAGCTCATCTTCCCAACGCAACTTTATATCTAACAGAATTAAATAAATATCTTAAAAGCTCAAAGAAAAATGATAAGACTCCCATCGTCTGGACGGATAGTGCGAACGAAGCATTTACGCAATGTAAGGCAGGTCTCACACAGGCCGCTACATTGACGTACCCTAGAGTGGGTTCCGCACTCGCTTTAATGACTGATGCATCTAATACATGCGTGGGAGCAGTCTTGCAACAAAAGGAAGGAGATAGTTGGAAACCATTGGGCTATTTCTCAAAAAAATTGACCACCACCCAACAGCGATATAGCACATACGATCGCGAGTTGCTCGCTATATACTTAGCTATAAAACATTTTCGGAAATTATTTGAAGGGCAAGAAATAACCGTGTATACGGACCATAAACCTTTAACTTTTGCATTTCAAAAGGTAGGACGCGATGAAAGCGAAACGCCTCGGAGAACGAGACATTTAGCTTTCATAAGTGAGTTCACTACAAATATAAGACATATAACCGGTACGAATAACATCGTAGCTGACACCTTATCGCGCATCGAAGCCGTGACTATGCCAACTGCGTTGAATTTCGATGACATTGCAAATGAGCAGCGTAGCGACAGTTATATCATGAATGTTATGTCTGGTTTAAATACCGATAATATTTTGTTAAAGGAACTAGTTATACCTATGTTAAATAAGTCTATTTTTTGTGAGATGTCTACTGATACAGCTCGTCCGTACCTACCGGAAAAGTTTCGACGCCTAGCTTTTGATAGTTTACATAATTTGAGCCATCCTGGAATTCGTTCTACGCGAAAGATGTTAGCCAAAAAGTATTTCTGGCCTAGTATGAATCGTGATGTTTCTTTGTGGGCAAAAACGTGCATACAATGTCAACGTTCTAAAGTTAACAGACATACGTATCGAATCTGACTAAGTTTCCGGAAGTAGAGCGTTTTGAGCATGTGCACGTCGATATCGTTGGCCCTCTTGAGATCTCACCAGATGGTTATAGATACTTACTCACGATAATCGATAGGAGGACCAGGTGGCCTGAAGCTTTTCCGTTACGAGACATTACGGCAGAAACTGTTGCCAAACATTTATATGAAGGTTGGATTTGTCGTTACGGTTGTCCGATAAAGTTAACTAGCGACCAAGGTCGCCAGTTTGAGAGTAGTCTTTTTAACCAGCTGTTAAAAATGTTGGGGGTTAATAGAATTCGAACTACTCCTTATCATCCGCAAAGCAATGGCGCAGTTGAACGTTGGCATCGTTCTTTAAAAACAGCACTTTCAGCTCGCCTGTCACATGGGTCCTGGGTGGAAGAGCTACCCACAGTATTACTTGGGCTTCGCGCGGCCGCCCGCAGTGACTCAGGGGTTAGCGCCGCCGAGTTAACGTTCGGACGAAACTTACGTCTACCGGGAGACTTTTATGACGGCTCTTCGAACAACCGTAACGTCAATGATTATTGTTTAGTGGATAAGATTAGAGATACTATTCGTAGTTATAAGCCTACATCCGACGATTCACGTAACTGTCATAGTTTTTTTGTGCACAAGGACTTACGTAACTGTGAATATGTCTTTGTTAGGGACGATTCAATACGTAAACCTTTGAAACCACCCTACGACGGTCCATACCGCGTGATAAAAAGGGGCTCAAAAGTTTACCTAATTCAATTACCCGATAGACAGGTACATATTTCTATCGACAGATTAAAGCCTGCATATGTATTAAAGGAATGTGATGGTAACGAAGCAACGCCACGCCAAAGTAACGCCGACAACGCAGCGGATGTGGCACCTGCGCATGTACGGTTTCCGTTACCACCGTCCACACCGCTGACGTCGTTGTTACCCGGCCCGAGCAACCCGATAACCGTGAAACAACGCGAAGTGGTCGGATTGTTAAGTTACCTTCACGATTTATAAGCTAGTGTTAATAAAATATATATTATACAATTACATGTCTAAATGATAATCAGGTTTAGTTACTATGGATGTGAAAGTATTATTTGCATTGTCAAGTGCATAATATTTTCATTCAGGATATTCAAGTTACATTATTTAAATTGAATGTAATTGTAGAGGTATCGTGTTCAGTATTTTTCGTATACTGCACTTTCATATAGGTTCCAGGTAGCTAGTTTAGTTATAATGTATTTAATATAATTTCATTCGAAATACTTCCTTTGCGATAGCATTAGCGCGATAAGTTTTACGATTTTTACTATGGGTAATTTTCAAGAAAAACCAGTTATTGTTTCTCAGGCTCAAAATACTGTAGAGAATAAAGTGGATAATTTTCAAACATGGTTATATGTGATAGCCAGTTTTATGGGGGCGATAATCCTGTACACTATTTGGGTAAAGTTTAATAAGAAGTTCAAAAGCTGGCTTCGTCATCAGGTGTTAATGACAGGCGTTCCGATATCGGGCCAGAATATGGGTCAGATGATAGGTGCTTCTAGCACCAGTCTGCAGCATGTGCCCGCGCCCGCCGCGGCCGCCACCCCCTTTCGCGGGGGTCTCCGTACAGCCCTGCGCACAAGCGCATTAGCAAGTTTTTGTTGTTAGTTTTAAGTTTATATTCATTGTATAGTTTTAAGTTTTTTGTATTCATTTTTTGTAAAGGGGGAAGTATTGTAGGTGTGCTGCGCACACACATGTAAACTTCGCAATGTTGTATTGTAACTATATTATGTAGTGAATAAGATTTTTCAACCAGTCACTAGTTGCCCGCCAACTGTATGGCACGTTCCGCTATAATAAATATATTAATAAAAGATTTCATCTTTCATTATGGTCACCAATAGGCACCCATATGGAGTCAGCTCCTAAAAGCCCAAGTTGCTACGGCTGTGGAGAAAGGGGCCATCTTCAATCCAGCTGCCCTAAGCGATCTTTAAAAAGGGAAGGTGATCGATCTCGATAGGGTAGTGCGACTTGCAGCACCGCCCAGCAGCAGCAGGAATACGACTTTACTATCGGACACTGCAGCGGAAAATGGCGAAGCAACACAGATACATTGTCAGGAAGACCTTATCCTGATGATTGCGAGAACAGTACTAGGCAAGAGAGTAACGAGGCGGTATCCGTGAGGATGCTCGGGACAGACCACCTCAGCAACGAGTGGAAGGACAGCTTACAATATGCACAGCAGGAAGATCCGGACATCAAGCCGATTCTGGAATGGATGAAGGCTAGTACTCCCAAGCCCAAGTGGAGCGACGTCTCAGCGATGAGTTCGACCACTAAAAGCTATTGGGCCCAATGGGATAGCTTGCTGCTTCAGGATGGAGTTCTGTGCCGTACATGGGAAAATGTTCGGGGAGACAGCTGTCATTGGCAAATGGTTTTCCCTAAAGCTAAAGTACCGGATGTTCTACAGCTGTACCATAATGATTGTTCAGGAGGCCATCTGGGAGTTAAACGAACTTTACTGAAGATCCGAGAACGGTTTTACTGGGTCCACTGTCGAAACGATGTCGAGGACTGGTGTCGCAAATGTACAAGTTGTGCGGCTGTAAAGGGACCTCAGACTCGTAGTAGAGGTGCATTGAAGTTGTACAATATTGGTGCACCATGGGAGATAATAGCCATTGACGTGGCGGGGCCGTTTCCGGAGAGTGAAAGCGGTAACAAGTATTTCATGGTTGAAATGGATTACTTCACTAAGTGGCCAGAAGTCTTCGCCATTCCAAAACAAGAAGCTTCAACAGTTGCAGATAAACTAGTTCATGAAGTCTTCTGTCGTTTTGGAGTACCTTTAGAGATTCACAGCGATCAAGGAAGGAATTTTGAGTCTCAAATATTCCAGGAAACTTGCCGAGTTATGGGTACTCATAAAACAAGAACGACTTCTTATCACTCCCAATCTGATGGAATGGTAAAACGATCTAATCAGACATTGGAGTGGTACCTGGCAAAAGTTGTAGACAACCGGCAACGAGATTGGGACAAGCATATACAGTGGCGAAGCTTCCATTAAAGCCGAAAAGCCGGGCTTGCCTTATTAAACCTGAATCAATCAATAATATAAATCAATAATATCAACTAATAAAATAACTCGTAAAATGTTTCAAGCTATTTCAAATTATTTCCCGCTAATTCCCGCGCGGAGTGCGTTCGACACATGTCGACCTATGACCTCGTATTGCCTTAGCGATACTGCTGCTGTCATAAAAAATGAGTTTTAATAGAGCTAATAGTTGTCTCCCTCGCTCGCGTGGGCTTTTTACGGGGCTTTCAAGAAGACGATCGCTCTCTTTCTAACCTATGGTAAAATATTCTATAATGAAATATAACTACGATTGTATATATAGCAATTAGTATAGAGATTTAAAGCCAGGCTTTTGGAAATAAATTTGTTAAAAGCGGAGGCGCGCGGATTTCACGTTTCAATGTTTATTTACTCTGTGTGCTTATCTTAAGCGATTTAATATTACTAGTTCAAATTTTTTTAAAGATTTTTAATGAAAATGGAGGATAATAGTGTTCCTTGTGATGAATTGAAGTGTGTTAAAGTGATAATCGGAGAGGAAATCTTTAAACTTTGTTGAGATAATACAACTTATCAATTATCGCAATTAAAAACAGTTATTGGTACAATTAAAACGTTCACCAACATTTTACGTAGACGTAATTAAATCTTTCCATAAGAAAGCGAGACGATTCCACTTATATTATCTTATCTCTTATCCATTAGAATGTAAATAATTTGTGTTTTTTTTTAATTTTGTACATAGTTTGTTTGTACTTTGTTCGTGTTTTACTTTTGTTCATGTATTGTATTGGATGTAAATATTTTTTTTCTTTCGCTTAAACAAACCCGAACGGCTTTCTTCAAAGCTATGCAATTGCTGATATATAATACAATCTATCTAGCAGTGGTATGCCTTCTGTGTGCTTTGTTAAACACGTCCATGACAGCACTGAATATGAAACTGAAGCGTGGAGGCAGATCAAGATTGGTGTATTTTTATAAAACTTCTAAGAACAACAATCTATATTTTTATCAATTTATATCTTGGGCTTGCCCTAGCTTGGAGCTCTAGCTTCGCCACTGAGCATATACAACCGTTTTTGTTATCATATCGAAGCGCTGTTCATGAAAGTACATCAGTGAAACCAGCTTTCGCAAACTTTGGAAGAGAATTATGGCTGCCTGCAGGCCTGATCACCAGGATACCACCTGATGCCCCACGTAGTATAACCGATTATACAAATGACTTGCGGAACAAAATTAATGACATTTATGAGCACGTCAGACAATCGGGCCAGCAATGTCTGAAAGATATGAAAACCCGGTATGACCGCAAAATGAGCAATAAAGGGTTCGACGAAGTTTCACTAGTGTGGTTGCACAATTCAGTCCACAGCAAAGGGAAATCTCCTAAGCTTCAAGCTAAATGGGACGGCCCGTACCGGATTGTAACCAGGATCAACAATGTAACCTACCGGATACAGAAAGGCACAAGAGGGACTCCTAAGATGGCCCATGTGGATCGCCTGGCGCGTTATAATGGGGCCGATAATGCTCGGGACTGCATGTCTTAGGAGGGGGCAGTGTTGCGCGCCTAAGTTGACGTCAGGTACCTGGAACTAGCGCCATCTAGTGTCAGGGACCAGAGCGAGGAGGGCTTCCTAGAAAATATCAATCTTGACTTTCGACCAACAGCGCCATCTAGTATCGCACAGAGGAATTAAGCTTTCTAGAAGCCCCACACTCGAACTTTCTGCGTCTGGTCGATCGGCGCCCGTATCTACGGGAATATTCTGGATGTTTCTGTGTAAAGTGTATTTAAACCCGCTGCAAGCCGCAATCGGGGCAGTATTGAATTTGGCGAGACAAGCGACGCTTCGGAGCGAAATAAAGTGAATCAGTGTGATTAATTATTAGTGTTTTAAGTTTTAATTGGTGTAAAGTGAATAAAAGTGTTAATTTTGGTAATTCAATCGGCAGTTTTTAAGGTCACGAACCCTGAGCTCGTAACACTATTAATAAGCTTGAACAAATAACTCCTTTTTTCGAATAAGACGCGGTATACTTAACCCACTAGGTTTCTTAATTAAAGTAATCACAGGAAATCTCAATAATGATGATGCCATTAGATACGATAAATTAATTACAAAAATTCTAGTTAAACAAAATAGTAACGACAACAGGATGACGTTGATTACTGAAATAGCACAAGCTCTGACCAACTCTACATTTAAATTAAATGAAAATCTAATCCAAATTAATAGAGATATTATAGCATTATCATATACTTAAGCAATATAGTCGAAAGAGAACGTATTAGTCATATTGAGACACGGATTATAAGTACATATAACTTATTGATTCATAACTTTCAGGCTATCCTTATCAAATTGAACGAGATAGTAACCACTTTAGCTTTGAGTAGATTAGGAATTTTACATCAGTCTGTAATAGAGTCTAAAATACTGTTAATTCTACTCGAAAAAATTAGTAAATTAGAGAATCTTATATACCCTCCTACATTAGAAAATTTAGTTAAAATAGAGCAAACTATAATGGTGAAAGCTTATTTAAAAGGAAATCAAATAACTTATCTTTTGGAAATACCTCTCGTCACTAAAGACTATTATATTTATTATAAGCTCTATCCCTTACCTGTATTATCCCATAACCGTACATCTGTCATTTTACCTACTCGTAAATTTCCATACCTTTTAATGAAAGGGTCGAAAATTAGACTGCTTACTCATCCTTGTCAGGAAGTCGATGAATACAGTTTCCTCTGCCCTGAGGACGACACATCCCAACTAATTAAGGATAATTGCATCACAGACCTCATGACTTATGCTGAAAATATATCCTCATGCATCCAAGTTCCAGTTACTTTGGAAGCCGTAAGGGTGCAGCTTATACAACCTAACAGATGGATTATCAATGCTTAGGAGTCTACTTTACTTTCCGAGATCAGCAATAATGAAATAGCAAGACAGAAGATGCGTGGCACATATATCTTAACATTAGACGGTAACTGTGCAGCTAAAATCAATGATAGCAAGAAGACGAACAAGAAATCCTATGGAAATTGAAAGCATTTCACCCCTTATATTACCTATTATTAACCTACATGTGATAAACCTATCTCTTGAGATGTCAGCCCCGGTGCAGCTCAACCTAGAAGGAATAGATCTTGCGGACCTCAAATTTCTGTCAGTTGCATTAAGAAAACGTGAAATAAAAAATAGTGAAAGTGAAAAGACAACTGTGGTGATTAAAAGTGTTAGTCTATGGACCATTTTATTGTATGGACTGTTAATTATTATTGTAACCTGTGTCTTAGTTCATAACTATCATTTAGACTTGTTCAATTTTTGTATTCGAAGTTCCCCTGTAAACGAGAACTTCGAACTTGAGGAGGAAAGTGTTACGGGTGGCGAGACCCACCAAGATGTCCGCATCAACAGAATATTCTGATTGCGGACGACAGGCATACGCTGAGTGGGCAAACGGAAACTGCCGAGCTCCTGTGTGGGCTCTCATCCATTTTCTTTTAAGGATAGAAAATTTAAGTTAATCTTAAGCGAGTTCTTGTAGTGATTAAACATCTTTAATTAATAAATTAGTATTTTAAAACGTCCTCCGGCCCCTGCATAACTTGACTAGATCGCTACGAACTGTCAAAGTTGTTTAGCAAAGTGTAGTTTGCTAAACAAAAAAATCGGCACGGAGAAAGGGACCAACAATCACACCACTCTGTCTCATTTCTATGCAAGACGTATGAATAAATCTATCTTTTTCGTGCGCGAATGCGAAAGAAGGCGTCAATTTGTCTATGGGTTTCTCTGTCTAACCTTCATGATCTGTAGCAGTAAATAATAGTTCAAAAACTATCCACAACAGCGCTCGAGTAGCTACAGTTAATGATAAATCGCCATAAAATACGTTGATTTTGAAAATAAAAATTTTGAAAACAACAAAATAATTATTATATAAAGAATTATGGTGAAGTTTGTGCAATAAAAATTATAAAAAGTTCTTTAAAATTTACACTGTTGCTACAGTGGCGCTGCCCTTATTTAGCGCTTTTCTACGGACACTTTTTTATACAGAGCTTGTTCTCCTTCTCCTCATACTACGAACTTTCCACATACAAAATTGTACTAAATCTACATCTACGTATTTTTTTTATCTGGCCCACGTCTATTTGAAAATCTGAGTTGGCAACACTGATTTAATTATTCATTTTTATTTTTCATTGAATCGTTCGTTTCGTTCTTTAAAAGTAAGGAAAAAATAAAAAAAAACCATTTATCCAAAAAAAAAAAAAAAAAACCACATAGTCAGTAATCTATGGTCTCGTAATTTCGTTCTATGGTTTCTTTCTACGGTTCTAGTTCGCACAATCGTAACCGTACTAAGATTGCGCCGCCATCTTTCTTTTCGTACTGTGGTCTGCAGAGAGGTATGTTTAATTGCTGCTGAACTTATAAAATATAGTTTTTATAATCATAACTCACTTATATTTTATTTAATTAACGGCGCAGGTGCGTATTATACAGTATTAATATTAGTAACTAATCTAAAATTCAGTGAAAAATTGGACGGCCATGTGGTTGCGGCCGGAATGATTTTGCAAACTACTGCGCATTATGTGTTCAGGAAAAGAACAATTTATACTAACGTTTTAATTTTAACAAGGTTTTATATTATATTACTACAAGATTTTTATAAAATCTCATTAGTGAGAACGCTAATGTCAAGTTCTTTTTTCAAACCCGGTATAATATGCAATCAACGTGGCGCGAATATGTAAAACTGAACTGTTTTTAGATACAATATGGGTTCGGTGGAACGAGCTGGTGACGCTACCTCTGAAGTGGAATCCGGAGAGGAGGAAATAGTCGGCGGCGGTGAACTTGCCCAACATTTGATGAAAAGGTACGTAAAAAAGAGTAAGAAAGGTTAGACAGTTAAGCAGTTACCATAGTGACTGATCCAATATAGAAAACAATCAATTCTAAAGTGTTAAAATAGTTTTTACCGGCAGTTATTTGTAAATGTAGTAGCAAACCTTATTATATTAAGACTGACAAGAAACACGTGTTACGTACGTTAGTCCCAGTGTTAATTGAGGGCAAGTGCTACTGCACATAGTTAAATGAGAACTTCGGCAATTTTAAAAATCATGCATGAGACACTTTCAATCCAATTTTTACACAGAAGTAGATTTTGTGGTTTACATTCCAACGATTTAAAGTTTGCACAGCTACATAGATTTCAATAGTACTATTACCAAATTATATTGTCAAAGCCGTGATATTACAATTTCACTAGTGATATAGTTAAACCGTAGATTATTAGTCAACTTAATTTTTTACAATTTAACGGACCCGGCCGACGGAGCCCCTCTTAGCGGGGCTCCTACTTCTGAGTGGTTTATAAAAAAAGACCCTGCCATCTCCTAACCTAACCAGTCCTAGTCGGGATGCCCTAAGTCCCGAGCTCGCTTTGCTAAAAAAATTATATTATGTGATTTGTGGACCGCGAAAGTATAAAATTTTTGAATTATTTAAATTCCAACGCCTGTGACCCTGTCAAGTCACAAGGTCAAAGATGCCTACTAAATTTATTGTTTTATTGCCGTTCGTAAAGTGGGATGGGACATGATTTAAATTTCGATAGATTTTAATTAATATATTTAATTCAATATTTTCTTATGTAAAATATCAGTGCTATATATAGGCTTCTGCTCCATTCACATGTTACACCTTATTTTTTTCCAGACTGTAAAAAAGGTCATCCAGTATATGAAGTGCGAAATGTCAGGTTTTTATGTACCAATTTCAGCCATGTAAACGTAACTAAAACTACACTCAACTCACGACAACTTGACTAAATCAGGGTTGTCATAAACTGGAATAAATAACATTAATTAGGACATAACTTATTTTGAGACTAGTCTACAGCGTAAGGAAGTTATACAAATGATTTTTAAATTGAAAAAATGTTATTGCTTTTCTGTAGACATTTGTTGTTCAGTACACCTTATATTTGCACTATTTTTTGAGAAGACAAAAACTCTTAAAAGCAAAGTGGCTGAGGACCATGTTTAGCAACTATCTATTAAAGATGCCATGGTATTGTGATAGGCTGTGATGATGATGATGATTCAAATACTTGGATGCTTAATATATAAAAAAAATTTTTACGTGGTAGTCATGCTGCAGTTATATTAATAGTATAGTTGTAGCAGGAATGGGTCGGCTCGACCGGGGAGGAACCACGCTCTCACAGAATAACAGCGTCAAATAGTAGCTTACTGCTGCTGTGTTTCGTATGGTGAGTGTAGAGAACTGGAGACCCTTGTTACTGGAAATGATGCATTCCACCTAAGTCCTAATGGGTGACAACATATCTGTATTTTGTTTCGTAATCGAGGACAGATGTAGATGTCTATGGGCCACAGCAACCACTTACCATCAAGTGGACTGTGTGCTTGTTTGTCACCCTATCATATAAAAAAATTATATTCCATGCTCATGACGTGATTCATATTTAGAACTTTTTATGAATCTGTGACTCTCAAAGTCACCTACTGCTTACAATAGGTACTTACCAAAAACTGCAAAGGAAATGACAACAAACCATATACTAGGCAGGCATAAAGTACACAAATGAACGACATTTGCTACATGAAGGCTGGAATTTGATCCATAACTCCTATTTCTGTTAATCGGTTTTGGAAATTGTTTTTCAAATAATATGATTCTCACATTTTTGAATAAATATCATGGGACCTAAATTAACAGTATCGAATATGTATTGTTTTAATTTTAACTTTATTACCAGCTCTGTTAAAAAATGTTTCATAATATTCCACCAAATCTGTTACATCGGTCAATAAGTCCCGAGCCTGACGTATAGATGGTGCTTTTAGAGAAAAATTATTTTAATTTTTAAAGGGAACAGACTTTGAATTTTTTTTTAACAATGGACAAACAAAGAATTTCGAGTGCTAATTAAACATTGTTTTTTAATAAAGAAAAGTACTGTTGAAGTAAAAAGTTAGCTTGACTAGTTATGGTGACTGAGTTAAAGTTCACAAAATTGTTTTGGAAGACCGTATAATGAAAATGCAAGAGATAGCCGACAACTTCAACATATTGAAAGGTAGTACATTCACCATTTTACATTACCATTTGTCTATGAGAAAGCTTTGTTCCAAGTGGGTACTGCATATTTGCTCACCATTGACCAAAAGCATCAATGTGCTGAAGCCTCAGAGCGCAGTTTAGAGCTATTTAAGTGGAACAAAAAGATTTTTTTCATGCGGTATGTCACAATAGCAAATTTTCATCAATTGTGACATACTGCATGAATAAATTCTTTTTGTGAAACTTGGATCTACCACTACACTCCAGTATTGGCAGTCAAGTGAGACAGCAACCAATGAAAGCCTCCCATAACAACCAAAAACAAATTTCGGCTGGAAAGGTTATCGCATCCTTGTTATGGGATGTGCATGGTATATATAGACTATCTTTAGAAGGCGAAAAGATCAATAGCGAATATTAAATGTCGTTATTAGTGCATTGGAAGGAGGAAATCGCGAAAAAATTGTCTCAAATGCAAAATAAAAAAGTTCTTTTCATCAGGATAATGCACCATGTCACAAGTTTGTTGTAACCATGACAAACCTTAGAGTTAGTTAGAGTTGCTTGTTCACCCACCATATTTGCCAGGTTTAGCCTCCAGCTTTATTTGTTCGCTAACTTAAAAAAAAATAACCTAAAAACTATTTTAGAAAGTGGACTTAATTATGTCATGATATTATACTCAATAAACAAGTCAACAAACAAATATTTGGGAAGTTGGATCCTTTGTTCATCATGGCACCCATTAGAAGAATGTTTTTATGGCTGAAGTGAATGTTATTTCGAGGTTTGAGAATGGTGAAAGCATTATTAACATGTGCAAATAATTAAATATTTTGCTTTCTACATTGTCAACAATATTATAACTGCTCTGAAGTTATGCAATGCTCTGAAAAAAAAGTATTATTGGAGAATAAATATTATTTTCATGCATCCTTAATGTCAAGTTTTGTCCTTCCTCTCCTACCTGTGGATATAATATAGCAACTTCCAGATATAGTGAGAAAATAACACTGGGTCCCTACATCGTTTTTATAAGTGAAATCTACTGTATTTTGATATAAGCTGTTTGAAAGTAACTTGTTTCCTTTAAGAATATATTATTTTTATTAATAAAATATATAAATTTATATATCCAATACAAATTTAAAAAGTAGCAAAATTATTTTCGTCCAAAACTTTGTCACCCATTATTCAGTTTCATCTTTACTAAAACCTGATTTAATTTTAGTATAAGATTACAGGTCATTGGACCGGTGAGTCACTTCATGCTCTACTTGATGTACTATAGCTGTTATATCTCTTATTATGATTGTGCTTCTAATAGCTCCAAATTGTTATTGTGAAGTGAATGGGCTTTGGATATCAATATTTATTATTCTATCCCTTAGTCTATAAAAAAGACTGACTATCGATATTTATTATTCTATCCCCTATTCGAATAAAAAAATATCGAAAGCTTGTTTTCAAATGCATTTAAATGCAACCAATACCAGTAAGAAATTATTATGTATGAAATACAAAATTTTATGTTATATCAAGTTGTTATTATTTGTTGAAAAGTAATGAAGTTTCTAGGAATATATGTCAGTAAGACTTTGTAATTGAATCAAAATCCAAAGTATTAAAATAAAAGGTTTACGTATTTAGCATTATTGCAAATTAAAAAAAATTGTATTTGATAAGTTAAAAGTTTCTGGACATTTAGTAAATGCCTTGGCCCGTATAGACACCTACACTCCTGAGAACTTAGATAAAATGCCTTGCTACCATCAGCTCTTAAACATACATATAATATAACACTTATTAAAACATTGCGATGGACTTGCTCCAAAAACTTGCTTAGAAACAGGAGGATTGTTATTAAATAATCAGTTCAAGTCTTTATAAATTTTATCAACTTCTAAGATTGTACAGCACAGCAGCTCGTACACTGCCCAACAAGGGAAAAGTTAACTTTAGACTAATGTCTGAATATAATAATATGTAAGTTTTCTTATTAATGTTTTCTCAACAGTGGTATGACTCGCAATGAGATGTTAGCTGCAATCACAAATCGCATTCATGCAGAAACCCTGGCTTCTCTCCCTCCCAATGTGCGCCGGCGTATTCGCGCACTCCGCTCCTTGCAGAAAGACTTCGTGGACATTGAGGCCAAATTCTACAGTGAGGTGCATGCACTTGAATGCAAATATGAAAAGCTGTACAAGCCACTCTTTGAAAAGGTAATAAGCTTTTATATGAAGTTAATAAAAAAAAAATATAACAAAATAAGCTATATCCCACATCTCATGAAGGGTTTTGGCTAAGAATTGTCAAGATCAACCTTAGTTCGACTTAATTTTTGCAAATTTATTTATTCATTAGATATTAAAGGTGTTTTTTTTAACATATCACGTTTAACCGTCATAGTGAACACTTCAAGTATGAGAAACTTTTAAAAATCATTGCATATTACATTAATAAAGTCATCTTTCCTTGCAGAGAGCACAGATTGTTAATGGTTTGTATGAGCCAACTGATGAAGAATGCCAGAATCCATGGCGCGATGACTCTGAAGAGGAGGAGTTGGCGCGTGCCGTTCAGAAAGCTGCCATCACAGAGGGTGAAGACAAAAACAAGACTGGCGATGAAACTGCACCGGCTGAGTTAGTTTTATTTAGTATTTTAGTAATGATCATGATATTCTTTTTTCGTTTAGAAAAAGTGCTATCTATTTATTATTTTATATAAATAAAATATTTGGAATAACAATTATAATTTGGAATAAAAACAATATGTTTATAGAATATAGGTAATGTTTACATGATGACATTTTACACCAATTTTCTGAAAATCATGATTGATTTGTTAACATGCATCACCAACTGAGGTTTTATACCATTGTGATGTTTTGCCTTGTGTAGAAAAAAGAAAACATTATTAAGATCAAGCTTTTGTTTCAGACCTGCAATGGATCCAAATGTTAAGGGTATCCCAGACTTCTGGTATAACATATTCAGAAACGTGTCAATGCTGAGTGAAATGATGCAGGAACATGATGAACCTATTCTCAAATGCTTGCAGGATATTAAAGGTTGGTTTAATTTGAGTATACATAAAAATATTTACCAACTTCTAAAGTAGGACAGCCAATGTGTTTTCATTTACTGTTATTATTTTTTCTATTGCCAAAGCACACGAGACTTTCATCAGCAGTCTTAGATTATGTGGCTGCATCACATTTAGATGCTGCATTGCTTTAGGTGACATGCTTTGTTTGATCATGGTGGCATTTCAGATATGAAAAACTTTTTTATGGAAACAAAATTGATTTTTATATAGAACTACTAGAGCTCATTTAATGACTAAAACATTGACAAGTTATTATTGTTAACAGTGCAAATGCATGAAGATCCATTTGGCTTTACCCTAGAGTTTCATTTTGCGCCCAATGAGTACTTCACTAACACAGTTCTTACTAAGGAGTATGCTATGAAATGCAAACCCGATGATGATAACCCATTGGAATTTGAAGGACCTGAGATTTATTCTTGCAAGGTAAATATACTATTTTACTTCATAATTACAACCATTGAAATTTGTATCACTTTAGTGAATAATTTTGTATTTTCTTAGTTTATTACTTACTATTTACGACTTTTGGTTTCATAAAATTCATATTTGTTAAAATGAACTTGTAAGGCTGGGTTTTTTACTTCAAATTACCTACGTTTTTTCAACAATGTTATAATTAAAATAACTATGACTCAGGCATTTACTTGTCTCCAACTAGGTTGTCCTAATTTTGGCTGGTTAATGTAAGGTGTAAAATAATTTTTGACTTCATGGCATAAAGAAACAATGTCCAAAACCTTAGAAGCAACAAAACATATGTGTTCCCGGTAGACCATTATAAATTTATAGTCACTGTCAGCAATAATGCTGTCAATCAAACCTCCTTGACAATGTCCATTCATTGCTGTGGAAAGCTTTGGTTAGGCAATAAAATGGATAATTTATAAAAATTGTGTTAACCTAGCTTGATTTCATCTAGCACTACCTATAACAACATAACATTTCATAAATACCTAAAGTCAAAGTTGCAATCATAGACACCTATTATTGTGTAACATTGATATAAAATTATTAATTGTTAAAATAAATCGATAAGTTACATAATTGTATTTAATTCTTTTAATCAATAATTTGTAGGGTTGTGAAATCAACTGGAAGAAGGGCAAGAATGTAACAGTAAAGACTATAAAGAAGAAACAAAAGCACAAGTCGCGGGGCTCCGTTCGTATTGTCACAAAGTCAGTGCAAGCGGATTCATTCTTTAACTTCTTCTCGCCACCAGCTGTTCCAGAGGATCCTGATTCTGATATCCAGGTGAGTTGGATACTGTACAGTTTAAACCATTGTCTCAGTCACAAATCATATCAGATAAATGAAACAAAAAGTGATGAAACCACTATAAGGAATACCTGGTGGCCATTTACTCCATTTAATTCCATAGTACTCACAAGCCAAGGTTGGGAATCTCTCTCTCTCTCTCTCTCTCTCTCTCTCTCTCTCATTTTTGTTGTAAAAGTTTCAAAATAAATCAAAATCTACATGTCTGAGAAATAAAATGTTTCAAGGACATGTGTAGTCTGTCAACTTGTACAGGGAGCATGGTGGACTAATTGCTACATAACCTCAGAAATGAGAAGCCTTTTGCCCAGCTGTGGGATGTATATACTTTTTAATTTAATATTTATTAATATAAAATTAAAACTAATTTGATATTATTTTTAACTTAGCTGATTGCACTTTGCACTCATTTTTTCTCTGCTTAGCCTGCAGATAGACTGGTAGAGAATGCTCTGTTGAATTAAGTCTGCCTTTTTGTAATTGTTGTACAAACAAAGAATAAATAAATAAATAAAATTAATACCAAAAATTAGCTTGAAAGGCATGAAATGACTACCATTTCATTTCAACTGTTACAAATATATGCTATTAATTTGACTATCACAATAGAAATAAATTTTCATCCAGGCTCTTCTAACGGCGGACTTCGAGATTGGCCACTACATTCGTGAGCGAGTTGTTTCCCGTGCGGTGCTCATTTACACGGGCGAGGGGCTCGACGACGATGATGATGACGACTACGAGGAGGAGGTATGTGTTTTTGTCTGTACTAGTCAAGTATGTACTACACTAGATACTGGGTGATTTAGGGTATAATATTAGTTATGAGAGTCAACACTATCTGAGCACTGGTCAATTTTGGTAAGCTAAAAAAAAATTTATGTTTTGCCTATACCAAAATTTATTTAAAAAACCATATAGTAGGAAAAATCACACAAACCCAAGTCTTGCTTACTTCTGATTTACTTATTAAGAAATTCATATGAGTACATAAGAAAGTCATATGATGGTTGCATCAATCCCAGATTAGTAAACAAACAATTGAAATCTGGCAATGTGATCATCCAATGACAAATTGTATGTTAGTTCCAAGATAAAAAGTGTTGTAATACACAAAACAATATTATATCGCAATTTAGTAAATATGCGCATGGTTCTTTGCTTTAAATATAAGTGAATTCTACAGCCATCTCGTATTCTCTAGTCGTTAGCTTTTCTTGCATGGTAGTCTTGCAGCTTATCATAAAATATCCCTATACATCCAATCAGACGAAGACACAGTTATATTAAGATATCAGTCAGATATTGTAAGCACAGTATTACTAGAAATTTAATGATAATCTTGCATGTAAGAGATATTTGAAATGGTTGCTTAAAAAGCTAAAAGACAGTACAGTAAGTCAATTCATCTTTTCTAAAAATAAAACATAATATTAGGATGTAAATAGACTTTTTAATATATTAAGATTTTTATTCTAATATTATGTGTAAATGTAACCTTGGTTCCTAATATTAGATAGTTGACTACAGTGAGTTAAATGTTTTAGTATAATAATGAAATAAAATAATAATGAAATTGCTTTTTGCAACATTATTACCATTAAAGGGATAGGTAAGTTTGTATTAAGCTCTTTAAGGTAATGTTTAACAACTGCTTCACAATTTATTAATCTAGTCTGAATTTAATTTTGAATAAGTCATCCACGCGAACTATTAAAATCTACGAAATTACAGAATATCAAATAAGAAAACTTACATTTAATTTTAATTAATAATTTAAAAATACATTTATACAAATTTTCTGTGAGCTTGGTAACCCATAACTAGTTTCGTGTGATGTGTGCATGTGTAGGCTAACAAAGTAATAAACCAGTCCACTTACAAATACATTCATGAATGTAGTCTCTCTTGCGTCTACGTCTGGTTGGATCCCATTTGCTGCACCAACAAATGCGGTATATTTGATTTCAGGAGGATTCTTATTCAGACGAGGACTCTGGAACGGAGGAGGTTTCAGATGCGGAGGATTGATGCAAGATTCCTCTCGCTAGCATTATATAATTAAACCTTTAAAGGCAGTCTAAAACTTAGATCAACGCCAGTGTCCAAGTTGGTTGGATCTAAGTTCTAAGGACTATTTGCACACAAAATTTTTGTGCTTTAATCGCTAACATCGTCATATCTACTACATCATATCTAAAAAAATCGAATGTACCAAAAAAAAATTCCTATTACATGCGTTAAGTAATAAAAAACTAATAATACTCTCCGAGTGTGAATTAGGATTTCTATGATCTTTTCTTTATTGCAGGACATTAGTTTGTTTTTATGCGTCAGTTTAGTCAAGTTTTATAAATTGATAGTATTTGTGCGCTAGATGTTAAGGTTAGGAATTTCTCGCATATAATGTTTTTCTATGCATGATTTATCCCTTGACTTGATAAATATGTTATAGATCTAATTTAAACCCTCAAAGGGCCTTTTAAATTGCGAGAACAAATGGTGCCTTATGTAATGCATGTTACTTGTTAAATGTCTGTTACAATACTATATTGCATTTCTAGATTAGTTATACAATTCTCGTTTTTATTTTATTATAATATATTAATAATTGTAATGTGTATTTTTATTTACGGATTTTACGTATTCGTTTTTGTACTTGAAATTTCATGTGATATTAATGTTCTCTAAGGCTATTATTTATGTTTCCTACTGTATGAAATTTTGATGCTGTCATTCCAACTGTGAAAATTCCTTTGCGAAAACCAGTGATGTTTAGTAATGTTACTAAATAAAAAGATCTTTCGAATCTCTCTTTGGTGCCAAAATGCATTTTGTATAGTTTATTTATAACATTGCAAACTGTGATCTTTGTCTCATAATAATTACTGATGACTAGCAGCAGTTAGGTCGGCTAGACATATATTTTTTATTTATGTAATCTTCTATTGAAGTTAGCATAGTCGTTAATACATAACAGCTGATTAGCTAGATTTTTACATACATACATACTGGTTCTGGCTAATGTTTTGGCATGATGTCCCATTGATGACATTAAAATTGTATGCTTTTTATTCAAATGTGTTTTATTTATTTTCAAAATCCTTATTTTTGCATGCATTAGTTATTTGGCGAGTTTGATTACTGAATGCAGATGGTTGCAGAATTCACGTAATTATAAATTTTGAAGGTAAATTTAGAAATGAGAATCTGATTTTTGAAGAGTATAGTTATTGTGGTTCTAATCGTGGCTTCATAATCAGGAGGAGGAAGAATGCTCAACGGAAGAAAGTGACGATGAGGAGCCGGCTCCAAGGAGAAGAGGAAAGAAACATGTGAAGGGCCAGCAAGAAACTCCTGCAGAGTGCAAGCAACAATAGCGCTAATTTAGGTCACAAATGTATGATGCTTGCGTTGTATGATGCTTGTGTTTCTAAGGTTCAATCTCGTTGGCAACTGGTAAACTCGAACGGTTTTGCCAATAGAGTCTGCATCATTGTCTTAACATTGACAATTTGCTGCTGTAATTTTGGCCTTCGCAGGTGTAAATTATTAAATCCATTGCCTTGACAGTTAAAAATAATAGTCCTATGTCTATGGTAATTTTTTGTTTGCTGGTAACCAAATCAACTGCCATTGGTTACGAACTCGCCGGCCGTCCAATGATTATGAAAACTCGCTACAATTTCTTAGTGATACAAGATACATACAATTTATTTAATAATGTTGTTATATTTTTCTATCCTTGAGAGTTGCTAATTTTTAATTTTGGTTTTGGAGTTAAACTTCCTTACACATTCCTTTAAACGACGACGAGATTTCTAACCAATTTATATTGTAATATTTAAAAGAATATTCCGCCTTCTCTAAGATATGTTGCCTTCAATAAGTTAATGTTTATAAATTTTTAAGTGTCCGAATGAATCACAATACTGAAGGTATTTTTATTTGGGGATGCCATTTTAATTACTAAAAACTGCATAGTAATAATTATATTTAAAAAAATACGGTCAGGCAACTTGCTGCTTAGTTTTCTTTGTTATTTTGACAAGTTACAGTATAATTAACTATCTCTGAGACTGTATTTTAGTTATGAAAATGTAATCGATTTTAATTTAATGAGTGTCTATATATACATATAGGTGGTTAGCATTAACTTTGAACCTTTGTAATATATTGTTAACATCTGTAATGTCAATTGGGAGGATGGCTTGTAATGAAATAGTTGTTTAAATACGAATCGTAACTGAGTTGCATCGCGTACACCAGCTACTAGGATATTTGTACACATTTTATAAAATAAAAGTGAAATATTGATATTTTTTTTAATTTTAGACCACGCTAGGCAAGCCTAGTTTTTTATTATGATTTTGCTGTAAACTGAAAAATGCTGCTGGTCAATCTTCTGGTTTATTGCACACTATCGTTACGATACCTACGAGACAATATGGGTTGTGGATATTCGTACGTCGCATCACTACACTGTACAACTATGGTATTATACCTTTCCATGACGAAAGGTACAAACAACCCACAATCCCCGGCGGCTTACCTGTTCCTGGCTACTTTGGCGACTTACGGTGGGGCAGAGGGTGGTAAGAAACTGGTGAAGGTTCAGTTGCCAATTATGACGATAAGACCTGGCAACATAGAAACTGCGGACTGACGAGAAGATCCTGGGGTTGGAAAAATAGATGACGAATTGCGCTTGTGTATTGTAGAATTATCTGAGGTCCGAATACAGGGGGGAAAATACGGTAATTCTAGAATCCGATAACTTGTTCTATCACTGGGAAGGCGACCATCTGTCCCCAAGGAGGGTGTCAGTTTTATCGATAACGTTTTAAAGATTGGAAGCATTGAGTGTAGAGGCAAATAGGACAATCTCCCAAAGGAGAACAGTTGGGAAGTTAAAATTCAAAATGTGATTTGTCACTCAAGATCGGATTGTTGGGAATCCAAAAAAATATATATTTTTATAAATTAAAAAACTAATTACGACCTTTTTATCTCGGTAAAATCAATAGACCACCTCTCCGCAGATGCTAAACGCTGCATCGTGATAATATAATTTTTTCATATAGTATATTCTTTAGTCAAATATGAATCTTCCAGGCTTTGACTAAAGAAAAAAGAAAGGGCACAAAGATTGCGGCTTGACGTAGTGCTGCGCACTATACTTAATATCGATAATGTGGCGCTAAAAAATCTAAGCAAATACCATGTTCAGCACGCCAAAGTCGTCTATGTTTGACCGCTAGTGTTGTAATGCGTTAGGCATAGATTTATTGAAAACTATTCAAAACGAAACGCAAACGTGTTATTTTTTTAAATTATTATTGATATTTGAATAAAACAAAAGGTAAGAAACATAAAACTATCAGCTACATAAATAAAAGAAAATTTCATCAAATCAACTTCGCATAATAACTGGCACATCCTTTGCGCGTCATCGATTATCAGTTCATTGGGCGCCGTGATCAAGGATAGACGACACCCTGATGACGTCATAAACGAATAGTGGAAAATTGTATATAATAAACGTTTTAATTTTTCTTAAGATATGACGAGCAATTTTACCATTTGATTGCAATTATGATTATCTCAAAATCATGTAGTAGCATCAGCATCATATCAAACCCCCCTCCCGCGACACAGAATATTTTGCGTCGATCTCTGTATATTTTGGTTAGATCGATTCCCAAATCGATACACAACGTGCGACACGGCTACATCTCTAAGAAAGTTTCAAAAAGGAAGGTCAGCTACGCCGTTGTCGTCCAGTCGTGACAGTGACGTCATCACGATGAAGAGTAGTGTTGTGGTTTACTATTTTATTGTTATTTATTTTTATTTATCTACAAAGTACATACAGTGGATCCCCGGTAGTCCGACAAACACTTTGCAGGGCTGTGTCGAACTATCGAATTTGTCGGATTATAAAGTACTGCCTAAGACACCCTATAGTCCGAATTTTTTTACAAAAGAGTACCTTGTAATCCGACAAATCACAGATCCAATGATAAGATTACAAATCATACTTCGTTCGTTATGTTTGTCAAATTTAGTAAATTAAACAACACAATAGAAAGATAACGTTTTATTATAAAATTAACGTCATTAATGCTATAAAATTTACCAAAAAACATGCAATAACTTTACATTAGGAAATAATTGTGTACAAACAAATGTACATATGTACTAAAATAATCAAACTTTATGAATCAATCAATTTAAGAAGCATGAAAATATTCATCAATTTTTTTTTTTTGTTTAAGATTGTTGAAACGCGAAATTAAAGCTTTGTCCCTCAGTCTTCTCAAAAGCAGAAGTTCGTTGTAGGATGCACCATTTTCTTCAGCCCATTGCAAACCCAGCTCAAAGGCGTTAATTGCATCTTCTGCTTTCACTTACGGAGTAGTTGCAATTACTTCGTCGTCATCTTCCTGATTTATTGTTGTACAACTAGAAATTTCTTTTATAATCTCTACGTCAGACATTTCGTGAAAAATATTTTCCTCTTTATCCATTCCATGGCACCAGGTTTCCAAATTTTCCGGACTTTTGTGTTTCAGCAGCAAATTGCTCTATTACTTCCGAAGGTACACTGCTTTGTGGATCGTTGGTAGGAGTGGCGACTATATCTGGCCATAACTTTTTCCAAGACGATGTAATAGTTGATGAAGGTAATGCATTCCACGATTGACAAAGAGCAAAAACCAAGTCTTTAATATTAAATTCTTTTAACGTTTTTTCTATTGGCTGGTCTTTTGATACGGCTTTCAGAAGTAGGTTTTTCTTCTAATCTTGCTTTACAAACTGAATGATATGCTGATCCATAGGTTGAATCAGTGCAGTGCAGTTTGGCGGAAGAAACATCGCAGGGATGCATTTATCCTCAGTTGTCAGTTCTTCTTCAGACGGATGACCGGGAGCGTTATCAAGAAGCAATAACGCTTTTTGAGGTAAATTATGATCTTTCAACCATTTTATAACTTCTTGTACGAAGCATTCATCAAACCACTTTTTAGAAAAGATCTTTTGTCATTCACGCACTTTTTGTCCATAATAGTGTACTGTTTATTAGATTTTCCAACGACCACTATCTTTAGCGTGTGTGTACCCGCAGCGTTAGCACGTGGTAGTATGGTTACACGTTCTTTACTTACTTTTCGTCCAGGTACAGATTTTTCGTCATAGGAAACAAAAGTTTTGTTAGGTAATACACGCAAAAAAAGCCCTGATTCGTCTGCATTGTACACCTGTGACGGGTTAACATTTAAATCTTTCACCTTTTGCAAAAATCTCAATTTAAATGACTCTATGCAGGTGGCATCATTAGAAAGTTTCTCTCCTGTAATAGTCATTAAACGTATGCCATGACAACTTTTGAAACGTTCTAGCCATCCCCTGCTAGCCAAAAAATCATCTTTTTTTATTATTTCCTTATAAAAATATTTAGCTTTCATGGCCAACATGGGTCCCGAAATAGGCGCATGCCTATTTCTTTCCTGAAGAAACCACATGTATAAAGCTTCTTCCACTTCTGGATGTTCAGCTTTTTTGAGTGTCTGTCTCTTGCCTGGCCCACAGTCAGTAGTTGACACGAACTGTTTAATCTTCTCGTGTTTTTTTTTTTTAATGTCATAAATTGTAGATCGGCCTACGCCGTATTCACTTGCTAAACTACTGAAAGATTCATTACGATTTAGGCGGTCTAAAATATCACATTTTTCTTTAATTGTCAGTGTTTTGTGTTTTCGCTTCTGAGCTTGAGACGACATTACTAGGTACGTATACGTAAAACACAATGAATAAACAATAAACACACGCTAGGCCGCACCGCTATCCTCTCTCATGCAACTTTATAATTTGTGCTCTCATGTATGTATGTAGTCAAACTAAACAATCAGAATCAAAATAATACCCTACGCGTCGAGCACAATAATGATGATGCGTACAAGTTGTAACTTGTTCAATCGTGCATTAACGAATACATGTATGTAATAGACAATGTCGGATTATAGGGGGCGCCGCATTGGCCAGGGGCCGGATTACTGGGGCTCCACTGTATAAAAAAAAGTGGAAGACAGTACAAGATTAAATAAAACATACCAGATTATAGAGTCATTTATTGCATAAACAACCAACAAAATCAAGTCATTTTGTGTTATCGATATATCAACTCTTATCAAGTATTTTTTTCGTAGGTATTTTTGTTAAATTTTCGCTTTGGCGTACAGGACACGGTAATGCGTTTTTGGCGTGGCGCTCAAAAGGTTAAAAGACTCCGAGTGGTCTAGTGGCGGAGAAATGAAACTACTATTTATGTGCAAACGACTGGTGTATCAAGTATTGAATGTGGAATATGGAATGAATTTTACGTCGACCCAGCCTACATTTATATGTCCGGCTACGTCGTTAGTTAACCAATAGTAACAATTTTTATTTGCCTAGCCAATTACAGTACATACATTATGACCAATAAAGATTATTTAAAATACAACTATTATGTACGTTTCATTTGCCGGCGTGAGACTCGTGTTATCTTCTCGTATCTACGTCCTTGGACTGGGCTATAAGTTGTGCAGGCCGGCGCGCGCGCGTCTATTTCCCGCGATGTCTATTTTCCCCGTACTGTCGAGGACGTCTGAAGAAAGGGTTATGGGAGGGTCCGGAGAGTATAGCCGAGGCTAGAGACTTCTTGAAGGCCTTCCAGTTGGTATAGGTTTTGGAAGCGGGAGTTGGAGATGGCTGATGGCCAAGAAGGAGAGATACAGGACGGTGGTCGGATCCTAAAATAGACATCGCGGTCAAAAATCTCACCTCACTTATAACATCCTCTCTTAAAGAGAATGAAAAGGTTGCCCCGGTTGTTAAAACTAGTCTTCCCCTAGATATTAGCAACTGTTGCGCGGCTAAGTTGACATCTGGCACTAGCGCCATCTAGTGTCGGGTAACAAAGCGAGGAGAGAGCTTTCCAGAAAAAATCACAAATCACTAATCTTTCAACCGCCAGCGCCATCTAGTATCGAATTGAAGAACTAAGCTTTCTGGAAGCCCCACACTTGAACTTTCTGCGCTTGGTAGGTTGGCGCACGTATTTACTCGAATATTCTGGATGTTTTCGTGGAAGAGCCCTATATAAGGGCGCTGCAAGATGCGATCGGGGAAGTATTGAATTTGGCGAGACAAGCGAAGCTTCGGAGCGGAATAAAGTGAATCAGTGTGCTTATTTATTAGTGTTTAAAGTTTTAATTTGTGTAAAGAAAATTAAAGTGTTAATTTAGGTAATTCTATCGGCAATTTTTAGTTGTCACGAACCTCAAGCACGTAACACTGCTAAAAGCCAAAAAAGCTACCCTCCGTAGAGCTGCACGCTATCCCACTCCCGAATATAGACTCGCGGCCCAACGCCTTCAACGCAAACTCCGTTACCGCCTCCAAGATTACAGAGACCTCGAAAGGGGCAATCTCATGGAGAAAATCTCTCTCCCACACAGCGTGCTACCAGATGACGAGAGCCCTCCGGATAGACGCTATAACGCATACTCCCCCTCTGTTTCGTCCCGACGACTCTATTACCTTCGAAGACGAAGAAAAGGCTGAGTGCTTCGCCGACAACGTCGCCGCTCAATGCTCTCCCAGCTCACAACCCACTGACCCCATACACATCCAACTAGTGGAGGACGAGGTCCGTCGCCGGAACTCGCCCGCCCTACCGCCTCTGACCCTATCACTGTGTCCAAAGATGAGATTGCATCTACCATCAAAGGACTTAAGCCCAAAAAAGCACCTGGTGCGGATGGCATCTCAAACCAAGGCCCTCAAACATTTTCCGGAGCAGGTGATCGCCTTATTGGCCATAATCTTCAGCGCCTGCTTCGAATTCAGCTATTTTCCCACCTCCTGGAAAGAGGCAACTGTCATTGGCATTCCCTCCCCTCCAATCACCGTCCCATCAGCCTCCTCAAGGCCATGGGCAAACTTTTCGAACGAGTCATTCTCATGCACATGAGGCGCCATTTGTTTCCCACAGACGGCGACCCTCTTGTCATCCCACAACAATTCGGGTTTCGAGCCAAACACTCGTGCCCCCAGCAAGTTCACCGCATAGTGGAATATATCCTCAGCGGTTTTTATCCTCGTCGTCAAAAAACCATCGCGGTCTTCTTCGACATTGCCAAGGCATTCGACAGAGTCTGGCACGAGGGCCTTATCTACAAATTGTATAACTTAGGCCTCCCAGACCGTCTCGTTCACCTTGTAGCCTCCTATCTGAAGGATCGTACCTTTCGCTTTAGACACGAAGGCATGCTATCCTCTACTCGTCAAATCAAAGCCGGTGTCCCTAAAGGCTCTGTGCTTGCCCCCCTCCTATACATACTATTCACCAACGACATCCCTATCCCGTCGAATGGTGTTAAACTAGCCCTCTTTGCAGATGACACAGCCCTTTACTCTAAAGTCAACTCACTGCCACAGATTCGGAACAAGATCCAAAAGTCAGTAAGCGACTTAGGAGCTTGGTTCCAAAAATGGCGTATCGACGTAAACCCGGAGAAAAGCTCCGCCGTTTGCTTCGAATATAAACGTCGTCGTCTCACCACCACTCCGCCAATCAGGATGTTAGGAATCCCTGTCCGATGGCAAACTAAAGCCAAATACCTAGGCGTGACCCTTGATGCAAGGCTCACTTTCGAGCCCCATATCAAGAAGGTTACTCGCTTTACATGGGTAGGCTCAACAGCATGTTGGGCAGACACAGTAAAATGTCCCTCCGTAACAAGCGAACCCTATATAAGGTCTGCATACCTGTCATGACCTACGCGGCCCCCATTTTCGCACATGCTAAGCCCAAAGCTATAAATGAACTTCAAATAGTCCAAAACCTATTCTGTCGTAGGGCCACTAACTCGCCCTATTATGTCCGTAATGCCGACTTACACCGAGACTTAGAGCTCCCAACAATCCAGCAGTTCCTTAAATCACTCTGAGAGATTTTTCAAAGCCTCAGAGTCCCACCCAAATCATCTCATTCGTGAGACAGCTGCCTATGCAGCCCCTATCCACACTCGCTATAGTGTGCGCAGACCGAGAAACTCTCTCTCGGACCCCCCCCAACAAGCTCTCGGCTGACTTGAACTGCCTCCTGGCGGCTCAGGCCAAGCCTACATAACACATCCCTTAATCTGCCTTAGTTAGGCAGTCGTCTAAGCGGCTTTTCGCCGCTTGCGCCCTCCTTTCTGCCAAGGAGGGTTGCGTTCGTATACGGCTTAGAGATCTCCAGTTAGACCTTTAAGCCAGTCCCTAAAAGGCGGTGTTTAGTGGGTAAAAGTCTCCACATAACCACGCAGCCGGCTGCGTGGTATGCTATGAGCATTCACCGCTTCCCTCCCCCGCTTTCCGGAGGGTTGCCCATGTTTGCTTCAGGCGCAAAAAAAGCGCGCGCGCGTAGTCGGCGAGCGGTCGGCGGGCGATCCTTGTTCAATGTATCTTGTTCCTTTATTAGAACGTTAAATATATACGTAAAAGCGACAGGAGCCTAATGGCAGGGCGCGGACCGCAAACTCAAAAAGGTCGTGGATTCGAATCCGCCATTCGACTACTGGTGTGAACCACTCCTAACACTGCCTGTGTTATTATTGATGTGTGATTTAAGCTTACCACGAGTGGTTAAGGGGAATATTAGTAATGTTAATAGCATTGCTAATATTCTTTAAAAAAAATTATCTCGCATCAATATGCAGCCCGCAGTATCTCAGTAGCCGGGGATAGTTAGGAAATAAATGTTTTCTTCGCCTTCTGTGTTATGGTAGCAGCAGGGTATATATTATTTATTGCCGATTAGCCTGGCTGCTACATCACTCTCCCCCTAGCGAAAGCGTACCGGAGGCTTGACGACTCGCCCGTGTCTCGTAATTTTTAAAATAGGTTTAATCTGGGTTGATGTAGATGATGGATTTTCAAACTTCGTCGCTGGTGGTTGTGACGATGATGAATCCTCTGAAGTATCCTCGTTAATAATATAGGCAGGCTTTAGTCGGTCGATCGATATAATTGTAGATTTCCTTCCGGGTATTTGTAATTTAAAAGTCTTGCTATTTCGCTCTAATACTTTATACGGTCCATTTTAGGTACTTAGGTTGAAATTGTTTTTTCACTGAGTCGTTTCTCACAAAAACTTGCATATTTTCAAATCTTGATGAATGAATACTGATTTATTATTTCCGTGTGATGATGTGCGTTTCGACGATAAGGCTTTGTTGATTCTCGAAGTTGAGTTACAAAATCGTAATCCATTTCTTGATTGTTTGACGATGTTGAAGTGAAGAAGTCACACGGTAGTCTTATGCTGGAGCCGTAGGTTAGCTGAGCGGCGCTAAGTGTCTGCACGCGGTGTTGCTCGTAGTCCGAGTAGCACTGTAGGTAGCTCATCAATCCACTTTGTATGTTGAGATAAACGAGTTTTGAGTGCGGTCTTCAATGTACGATGCCATTCGTTTATTTTATTCGTTCGATTATTCCGTTTGATTGAGGAAGGTATGCTGTTGTACGTGTCTTCTGTATTCCCATAGTTTGAAGAAGTTTGAGGAATAGGTTGCTTTCGAAGTTTCTTCTTTGATCCGTTGTGATGGTTTTAGGTGATCCGAAACGAGTAATCCAATTTTCATAAATTATCTTCACGACGGATTCGGCTGAAGTATCATCGGTAGGTATTGCTTCTGGTCATCTTGTTGTTCTGTCGATCATTGTTACGAGTTAACGATGTCCTTGCGGTGAA